CTTTTAATAATGTCACCTCTTGCCCTGCTGACAGTCTTTTCACAATCTCCTGAACTTTTCTGTGGCTTCTCCTTTTCTGAGGGACCTTTCTCTGGGTGTGGCCTTGGATTTCTGCACCTGGATGGCGCCTCAGTTTCTCTTCTCCAAAAAGCTTAAGGTTTTTGTGTGTCGAAGGGATGTAGTCTTCATGCATTTTGGCTACTTCGGGGCTAGGTAATGTCTTCTTAAATTTTTATTATTTCCCTAAAAGTGCATTACCAGGATCCCCACACCTATCTCCCTACAATAATTCCAATGTGCTCTAGGTATCATGGCTGTTAGTATATAAATCCAGAACTTAAAGTATGTACTCAATAAATATTAATTGAATTTTTTTTTGCTATGAATGTTTAAATGCTCTTTTTGTTATTTTTGGACCACACCAGTGCTGTGTGGAGCTTACTCCTGGCTCTGTGCTCAGATATCATTCCTGGCAGGTGGTGGGGTGGCGTGGTATGCTGGGAATTGAATCCAGGCTGAACACCTTCAAGGCAAACACCTTACCTGCTGTACTATCTTTCCTGCCCGCTTCTTTTAGCTTCATCAAAGAACTTCAAGCAGGTCTGTTAAACTTTTTTTGCACTTAGGTTTCTCCATTGATTAAGTAAGATTATCACATCCACACTGATTTGACTTATGACGAGGTTGTATGAAGGAACTACAATACATTATAAATAGTGCTCATGATATATTATTTATATCTTACTATATCTCACTCACACGGCAAAGCCTGGCAAGCCACTCGTGATGTATTCAATACGCCAAACACAGTAACAAGTCTCACGATGGAGACGTTACTGGGCCCGCTCGAACACATCGATGAACAGCGGGAAGACAGGACAGAACAGGACCACTATATAATTATCATTGCTGTATTTGCTTAAAGCTGTTGAGATATTATGGCCATTCCAAAAGTTGTCCATATTTATACCTACAACCTGATAAAATTAGAGTATTTAGTCACTAAACTATCACTACAATCTGTGTCATAAACATTACTAGCACCTCCAGCAGTCTCTATTCTCGGGGACTTTATTTTGGTTCATGACATGTCAATCCCACAGATGGAAACACCAGAACCCAAGGCTGTTGTCCGTAGAACCAAGTAGGCCAAGTACCTCTGCCAAGGTGTAGTAGGACCTACAGTGAGGTTCCAACCAAAAATGCAGTGAACAAGACAGCAGTTCAGCAACACCAGTGTCACACTAGCGCGGTATCAAGGTGAGCCACCAGTTTATACAGCCTAAAGTGAAATCAGTAGACACATGGGTTGGGGATGTCCCATTCCTGAGGGGTTCCCCTGCAACCATAAGGGGGAATACCCTTAAGGATGGTAGAACCCCAACAGTAAAAAATAGGGGGTAGAGGGGAGATCAGATCCCTACTTGCTGCTAGTAGGAGATTGGAAGGGGTGGGGGAATTCTTAAAAACTCCACTCACTGACTAGGAGATCCCCTTCTGTCACCCGAAGTTCCCCGTAGAGGGTATTACTCTGAGACCTTTGTGATCACGAACCCCTAGTGCTGTGTTTCTGGTTTGATGACAGATTATCTACGTGCAAGTGTAAAATGAGTTAAAGAATGCTCATAGACATAAACTATAAGCCCACACGATTCGCGTATTAGGAGTTCAGTGATCCTGGAATTAATAGCTGTACCACTTTTCCATGTTTAAAATCTCGTACTTGTTTAAACATAATTTCAGGAAGAAGTGAATGTGGAGATTATAAAATATAAGGTGTGACTAAAAAAAAAAAAGACAGTCCTGATATAATGAACGCCATTTTTATTGATTCTGATAGTTCAAAGCAAACACCCAAATCATTATTTCCACATGATGATAGCATAAAGAGCATTTATTATTTATCTGAAAATTAAAATATTAAATGCTTTAGAAAGAAAATATTAAAAATGGAAATTACAATACTTTTTGGTTATTTAGTTCCATAGTACCAACATAAAAAAATTCTCGGGGTGGGGGGGGACAGGGCATTTAGGCCACATTAGGCAGTGCCAGAGATAAAGCAGATTTGACTACATCTGAGGCAAGCACGTAACCCCGTGTACTATCTCTCTGGCCCATAACATTAGTGAATTGTATGGAAAATGCTTTAAATGCTTTAAAAGTTCACTTCAAAACATTAAAACAAATGGCACTTTATTAAAAATTCTACACACCACCCTTAAAAAACGCGATTTTATTATTTTCTAAATTTTGTAGGGGAGGGAGAAACACCTGGTGATGCTCCCTTGAACTAAAACTCCAGCACGCAAGCACACACTTCATCCCTTTCAGATAGCTCCTGGCTCCCCTAAATGATATTTAAATATGTCAGTAAAAGATTTGCGTTTATAGCTAATCTTGAAAGACACACCACATCTACACTGTCTATTAAAATGTTCAAATAGGTATTTCGGAAGAGAACAAAGATCAAAAAACTAGAGGGTGTGAAAAACTGTAACACATACTCTTTAGAAAACATAATTTTTCATTAATACATGATGCTGCTTCCTTCCCCCCCCCCCCCCCCCCCCCCCCCCCCCGCGCTTGAGCTTACTTCTGGCTCTGCGCTGGGGGGATCACCCCTGGCAGTGTTGGGAGGACCTATATAATGTAAAGTTTATCAAACAACCATCTCTAAATATAAAAAGCCATGTGCATTTCTTTGCATATCCTAATATACATTCATGTTAAGAAAAACAAGTGCCTTATCATATAAATCCTTTTCCTTGCATTCACCATTTATCCTGAATACACTTTGAGTTGGCGATTAAACTTTTAACGTATTTTTCTTATTTTGTTGGTGGTGGGGCCCCACACCAGGCTGTGTTCAGGGCTTCCACCTGGCTCTGCTCTCAAGGCTCACTCTTGCCTGGGCCCCGGGGAGGAACCATACCATACCATACCGGGGTGCTGGAGACCAAACCCCGGTCGGCCACGTGCAAGGCAGAAGCACCACCTACCTCTCCAAGCCCTTAGTGTATTCCTAAGAAGAGTAGAGCACAGTTAAACATCCTTTCCTTCCCCTGAAATAGCAGCTTCAAATTCAAAAACAATTTTTTTTCCTTTTTAAATTTGCTTCACATTTAGACACACAGTTCAACGCAACTCTCAGCTCTTCAGAAAACGGCCCACCTCCGGGGCCTTAAGTGCCTTGCCAAAAGGGCAGGACCACACAAGGGCTCTCTGCGTTGGAAAAGACCCTTCTGAAAAAAACCTCCAGCATTTCCCAAGCATCTCCTCTGCAGCCCCCCCCCCCTCCCCGCGCTCGCTCGGCCGGCGGTTCCCAATTCCTCCCCGTAAAGAGCCCGCGAGAAGCCGGGAGTCGGGATCCGCTCGCGACCGCCCTCGTCGGAGCCGCACGCCGCGCGCGCTCCTCCTCTCCTTCCCCGGGGCCCGGGGAAAACCCTCCCTAATATTTATAACGTTATGACATACTGTAATACTCACAAGGTGGTTTGGTCGGAGTATAAACACGGCCGCGCTTATCTGATTGGCTGCCGGTGATGTAACACCCATGTCAATACTTCCCCGGGAACGCACGTGTTCGACCTTTTATTGAAATTTCCCATTCGCCGCGGCGGCCAAGGAGACCCACTCGGGCCGCCGGTGCCTTGTGTGTTTTTTTTTTTTTGGCCTCGCCGGAGCCCCGGTCGCCCGCGGCTCGCCCCGCGCGCACAATAGCGGCCGTGCCGGCGGCGTGGCAGCTCCTCGCGTGGAAAAAAAAAAAAAGGAAAACACCAAACCAAACCAAAAAAAAAAAATAGCAAAAATCGGGGCTTGGTTGGGGAGGTGTCGGGGGAGAAGGAGGAGGAAGAGGAGGAGGGGGGGGTGAGGCCGCCCCCAGGTTCCTGGCTTTGTGAACAAGGCAACAGCATTGAAGTTCCCCTTCCCGGGGGCGCCCACCCCAGCCCCCCACCCACCCGGGCCAAGGACAAGGCGGGCGGACCCCCCCAAGTCCCAGGTGAACTCGTGGCGAGCGCCGGGGGCCGCCGCACGGGTCCGGGCGACCGCCTGACACTCGCCAGCTGTTTGTCCCCGCGCCCCTCCCGCCCCCTCCCTCCTTCCCCTCCCGGGGACCCCCAGCCGCCCGCCCGGCCGGCCCCGCGCTGCCCCCGCCCCTCGGCCCACTTCCTTCCCCCCCCACCCCACCCCAGCCCAGCCCAGCGGCCGCACCCCCCGCCCCCGCCCCCGGGCCGGAGGCGCCTGGCCCGGCCCCTTTTCCCCCCGGTCCCCGGGCGCCCCCAGCCCGGCCCAGCCCGGCCCAGCCCGGCCCAGCCCCAAGCCCAGCCCCCCTCCCCCCGCCGCCCGGCCCCCACCCTTTCCCCCTCCAGCGGTTACTGCTACCCCGGTGCATTGTGGGCGCACGGGCCGTTGTTCATTTGCCATTCGACCTCCGCCAGGGCCTGGTCGGACGGAAACGCTCGGCCGGCTTTATTGTCGCTCGGCGATGTGGCGGCGCGCCGCGCTCTGAGCGTGCCCGGGGCCCGCAGCGGCTGGGCGGCCGGCGGCGGCGGCGGCGGCGGGAGCGGGAGCGGCGGCGGCGGCGGCGGCGGGAGCTCTCGGCGCGCCCGGGGCCAAGCGGCGCGGGGGGGAAACCGCGCGGGGCGGGGGACGCGGCGGGGCTCCCCCCTCCCCCCGCAACGCCGCCGCTTCAACTTCCCAGGCCCCACGCGCTCCCGGGGCTCGCGCGCCTCGCCGCGCCGCCGCCCCCTCCCTCCGCGCGGGACGCCCGTGGGGTGCAGCAGGCAGGACCGGGAGGCGGCGGCGGCGGCGGCGGCGGCGGACGCGTGAGCACAGCGGCAGCAGCAGCGGCGGCGGGAGGGCGAGGCCGAGCCCCGCGAGAGCCGAGCGCCGCCGCGGGCGGGGGCGGGGGAGCGCGCGGGACGCGGCCGGGCACGAGCCGGGGGGTGCACCGGGCGGCGGCGGCGGTGGTGGCGGCGGCGGCGCGCGCGCGCGCCATGTCGTTCAGTGAAATGAACCGCAGGACGCTGGCGTTCCGAGGAGGCGGGTTGGTCCCCGCCAGCGGCGGCGGCGGCGGCGGCGGCTCCTCGTCCACGAACAATAACGCGGGCGGCGAGGCCGCGGCTTGGCCGCCGCCGCCGCCGCCGCGAGCGCCGTGGCCCCCGCAGCTCAATGGGCGGGGGGCCGACGAGGAAGCGGAACCCGAGGGCCTGGAGCCCCACGACCCGGAGGCCGCCGCGGCCGCCGCCAACGAGAGCCCCGCGTCGCCGCTGCCCCCGGACGCGGCCGGCCCCACCTCGCTGGGCGGCGGCGGCGCTGGCGCTGGCGGCGTTGGCGGCGCGGGAGGCCCCCCGCTCGCCGAGAGGAACCGTCGGACCCTGGCCTTCCGCGGCGGCGGGGGGCTCGGCGGCCACCACCAGCAGCACCCCGCGAGCGCGGCGTGGCCCCCGCGCCCCTTGAACGGCCGCGGACCGGCCGCCGCCGCCGAGCTGGAGCTGGACGCGCTCGCCGAGGCCAAGGAGCTGCTGCCGGACGGCGCGTCCCTGAGCGACAGCACCGAGGACGACGAGGAAGGGGCGAGCCTGGGCGGCGACGGCAGCGGGCCGGAGGGCGGCGGCGGCGGCAGCAGCTGCGGCAGCGGCCGGCGCTCGGGCGCCGATGGCGGGGACGACGCGGAGGGCAGCGGCGCGGGCGACGGCGACGGTGGCGGTGGCGGCGGCGGCGTCCCGCACCTCCCGCTCGTGCGGCCCCAGTCGCTGCTGCAGAAGCTCCAGTGCTCCTTCCAGAGCGCCTGGCTCAAGGACTTCCCCTGGCTGCGCTACTCCCCGGACACGGGCCTGATGTTCTGCGGCTGGTGCCACCAGCCCCCCGAGGACGCCGGTGGCGGCGGCGGTGGCGGTGGCGGTGGAGGCGGGGACCTGCCTCCCGGCGGGGGCCACGACGAGCTGTCGCGCGGCACCCGCAACTTCAAGAAGACGCTGCTGCTGAGACACCACGTCTCCGCCGAACACAAACTCCACGAAGCCAACGCCCAGGTAAACGCCGGCGCCGCAGGACGCGTGGGCCCGGCCGGGATGGGGGGTGGGGGGTGGGGGGAGTTGGGGGGCTGGGGGAGGGGGTGGGGAGCGAGGAGGAGGGGGGGAGTCGGAGCCTGGGAACAAGTTCCCCCCCCCCAAGTTAGAGCTGGAGGCGGTGGGGGGCGGGGGAGGGAAGTGGGGGGCGGGGATGCGGGGTCTGGGGTAGGGGGGAAGGATGGGGCGACCGTTTTGCAAGTCGTGACGCCCCTGGTGTGCGTGTTGTGCGTGTGTGTTTCTGTGTGTGTGTGTGTGTGTGTGTGTGTGTGTGTGTGTGTCTTACAACGTCTCGGGGGCTTCTTTCTGGACGCCTGCTGCCGCCGCAGGAGAAGAAAGTTGAATGAAGCCGGGATTTGCAGGGTTTAATCCGAAAAGGTTGACTTTGTGGTCAGAAATTTATTAGCTGTGAGTTTCGAAAAAAGGCGGCCGCCGGCTGCTCCCAGGGCTTTTTTTTTTTTTAAAGCGTGCTTGGTGCAAAGTAAAATCTGGCAACTCTAACTCTTTGAAACGCGAGTGCAACAATTGCCCTAACCTTTGATGCGCCCCCCCCTCCCCATTTAGGGAAATGACCAAGCGAAAAGGCCAAGCGAAATGCTTTTTATATATGTGATGAAATTTTAGGGTCCTGCGAGGTTGGGCTGCTGCTGTGTGTTAATGTAGGGGGGAGATGTTGGGTTATAAGCACTTTTTTTTTTCCCTTGGAGCGTCACTACATCTTTGTGGAACTTTTTTTTTCAGAACTTGCTTTACTAGAGAGACACGCGCTTGGTAAATTACTGCAGGTTTTTTTTCTTTTTACTTCCTCCCACCCAGATTTCTCTGCTGAGATTTAAAGGGAAAATGATTTCTCTCTTTTCAGAAAGCTTCTACGTGGAGTTTACTTTAGATTTTGCCTATTGGAAGTGTTTCCCAAAGTCTTGGGAATTCATGAGTCTTAGAAAACCAGCAGTGCTCTATGTGGTTCTTGTTTTAGTTTTTATTCTCATGAGGCTTAACCATTTTCATCAAACAGATGTTGGTGGGAAATTTCAAAACGTTCAGACAGCCCGTGAGAGTGGGTGGAATTTACTTTTTAATTGATAGCTAACATTGATTTTTGGAAATCAGTTTTGATGTACAGATCTGTTTATCGAGAGTTATTTTTGCAGTTAAGATTACAAGTACCGATTAATTAGGTGTGCTGTTGAGTAAAGTCATAGCACAGAAATTTCTCTTAAGTGACGGCTTTAAAGCAAGGGTGATTTGTGTGGACAGTGGCGATAGTTTTTGCACAGATTTTGGTTGCCTAAGCTCTAGAAAGGAAGGTCGCTTAAAGATAGAAAGTCCTGGTAGGGTAAGTAAATTGTCCTCTGTCTTAAGAGTCCTTGATTGAGCACTGAGACTAGGGCCTATAATGAATGTTGTAATGGGAAAAGGCAGGGTTTGGAGTAAACCTTGAATATGGGTTCCCATCTCAGTGTTCTGCAGAGACTAGCCTTGTGGGTTTGGGCAGTGAAGTAAAATAGGAATGACATTTCCTAGTCTTCCCTGACTCTACAAATTATTTTCTTCCCATTTTACAGACAGTAGTCCCAGGTTTTTTAAGGGGTAGATAACGTAAGGTATTCTTGAGGTTAAGTTATTCTCTTTAAGAAGAGAATGTATTAAATCATGCTGAGTTGGCTGGACAATCTTAAGAGGAAAACTTGGAATGATCTTTTCGAACGTAGTGTGAGGCTGTTTTACTCCTCAACATAATCTCAGTAGGCAATTCTGATTGGGAATGCAAATTATAACTAGCTGCTTAGTGAACCTGAAATCTGAGGAAGTTAATTGGATAACCATGTAAATCTACATAAGGTTATCCAATTAACTTCCTCAGGCACCTAGCTGGATGAGGGAATTTATTCCTAGGTAGAACCATTCTAACTTTGATCTCTAAATTAACCCTCCTTTTACCCTTGACTCCTTGAAAACACCCCCTCTCCTCCCCCTTTTAAGGTAAACTGCACAGCGACCCCTTTCTCTGGACTTTTTCTGAGCACAAACAGTTTAGTAAGTCTTTGTCTAAGGCTGTGTATTAGTTCTCTTGAGTAGATTTTGATGTTTTGTTTGAGTTGTTCCTAATCATTTTTCTATTTTCATTCTAACTAATCTGGGTTAGGGATCACTTGCTGTGGCCCACAGGTACCCTCAGTTACCTCTTTGTCTTGCTAATGAAACCGTGGGTTCAAGAACTGGCTTCCTACTGGCTCAGGTCACTTTTTTTTTTCCCCCCTCCACTGCTCTGTAGCCCTCGATTTCCCGTAGGAGGCAGTATAATACAGCCTGAGAGCAGTCAGACTTGAAGGCGAGTCCTAATCCTCTACTTTCTTCTTGGCAAGTGAAGGAGCCGCCTACTTTTAGTTTCTAAATATATGCAAAGCATATCTGCCAGCTTGTAATCTCATTAAGTGATAACCATTATCAATCATTTACTTATTTTAATCTCATAGCTATAACAAGATGTGGAGTTGGTGTGCCTGCGTGTTGTGTGTCAGGATTCTAGTTTGTCATTTTGGAAGGCACTTTTCTGAGGGAACCGGGGCCTGTCTAGAGAGGACATTGGCTCCCCTTTGCTTCCCTGCAGGTTTTCCTTAAACATTGAGATTTGTCGTGCTGGTTTTCTCGGTTTCATGGATTATTTCACATTGAGTTTCTCCTGTCTTATAAGTGTTGAAGTAAGAGTTCTGGCACTACTTCATCATATTCTTTTAAATGTTTGTCATTTTTCTCCGGTGGTTGCTCATGGGAAAGGCTGCAGGTGAGCTTCTGAACCTCCAAACGTTCTATTTAATAGCTCTCAGTATTTATAAAGATGTAAAGGACAGCGGAGATCTTTAGTAACAACTGTCTTTGTCTAGTCAGTTCAGATTTCCAGTTCATTCAGGATTTGTCCGTTTGAAAACTTCAAAACTTCAAAATTACTGTGATAATCATTACCACTTTATTTTTGATTCAGATCACTGTTTTAATTGTGAAATTTTCATAGCCTAAAATATTCTGCCTTCCTTGCTAGAAAGTAAATACCAAATACGAATCAGTGATGGGACTAAAGTTTCTAAAGGTTAAATAGACTTACTAGCCTTCTTTGCATTTGCCAAAAGACTCAAAGGTTAATGCATTTGTTCTTGACAGTTTAGGAAGAAAGTCTGAAACAAGTTTTTACTGAGAAGTGAGATACTAGAGGTGAGCCTGTGCATGAGGATTGGATTCTTTTTCTTTCTCAGAATACTTCAATTAGGTTGATGTAGGGCGCTGGAAATAAGCCCAAAACATTTTTCTGCCCTCGAGGAACTTAGAGTCTAAGGAGAGACTAACACAAAATGATAAATAAGTGAGAAGTATTCTGAGACGACAATGAAAACTAGCAACCTTTTTTGGGGGGAGCACACCCAGTGCTCAAGGGCTACTCCCAGCTTAGTTTTGGGGGGGTCCCTACCCCAGTGCTAAGGAAATCATGAGGTGTGGGGAATCAAACCAGTCCTCTTGCATACAGAGCTTGCACTCGGTGTGTTGAGCTCCCGCTCTAGCCCTTAGGAAGCTCTTCTTAAGGGGAGAAACTTGTAGAATTGGTTGTTGAACTTCATTTTGTCAAAAGAATAGGTGTAAAACTCGAAAAGGGGGGCATTCCAGGCAATACTGCAGTTGGAAGCAGTAGGAGCAGAATGAAAACTAATACCTTGTGTGTCTGCAGAGTGGAGATAGCCTCAGGCATCCCACTGAGGAGAATGTAAAATCAGGCTTCACCAGGTAACTCCACAGCAATGGTTGTGTTAATGTGACACACCAATCTTGTGTTAAAAATGGTTGATTTTTCTCTTTAATACTCAGGCAGGCTATTAATAGCATTTTTAAGCAAAGAAAAATCATGATGAAAATAAGTTTAATGGTGCCTTTTTATTCTAGTTTTTAATTTTAGAAACTTACTTACAAGACTGTTAATGGTAGGGTTTCATGCAGACAATATTCCTGCACACACCCTTCACCAGCATGTCCCTGCCCCTCAATTAAACGCCCCCCCCCCCACACACACACACACATACCGTGTTACTTGCATTTTCAAGGTATCCCTGGAGTGTGTATGGGGATTTAGAACTAAAAAGAGTTGGTGCGTCATCAGTAGTGTTAGTGTTGTCTAGGTGTCATAATCAAGGAAGTCACTCCCCTCCCCCAGCCCCAAGTTAGAACATCTGTGAACAGAACTTACACTGGGGAGGAAAGATGTCACCATTCAAAGAGACCAGGGATTATCAGAAAACATAAAGGAGACCTTCCTGACTTTCTCTCTACCCACTGTTAGAATCCGTCAGTAGAATCAGCAGGCGTTTATCTGCCATAACATTGGCTGTGGCCTTGTTTGTGGTCATTCTAGAAGTTAAATTTTTTTTCCCCAAAAAAACTGAATTTGGAAGTAAAAATTGATGTGGCTGTGCTCTCATGATGCAGCCTATGCCCCGCAGTGATGCCGAGAGTGATCCCTGAGCACAGTGGGGAGTATGGGCACAGCTGGCCATGTTCTGTCCAACTCTGCCACACCTGTCCCCATACAGTTCCAGTAGATCATTTTAACAAAAATAGTTAAGGATTTTTGTTTATTGCTTCCAGTTTACACTTTTGATGTTTTTGTTAGATAAATGGCTTCTGCTAATCCAATATCAAAAGAAGAGTAAAAACTGAGAAGGGGGGATGGTTAGCTCACAGCATTTATTTATTTATTCTTGGTAATTTACAAATTGGCCACAGATGGCTTCTGTTTGTTGCAACTGAAGTTTCCTCTCCCACTCCTCATCAGAATAGTAGGGAGACTAGGTGGTAGTCTTGGAAGCACTAATTGGGTCGTGGGGTGATCTAGCTCTCCCAGCTAGAACACCATTTCTTTCTCTTTTCTTTCTTCACCCAGGTCCCCATTTAGTTAACCACTCATTCTATTCATTTTCCTTTCTGAATATTTTTTCATGCTCTGCCTTGGGCACACCCCTCCCCAATAATGCCCATTTCCCCCTAAGGTCCTTGTGTTTTGCAAGTATGTTGCATTATTAACAGTTGCTTCCTAACTGGTCACAGTATCTGCAGTCATTGTCCTGATAATGAATCCTGCAAAGTTGCCGCCACAGTCATCTCCTGTGTCTGCTAATCCTTTCAGATCACTCTTCTAAAGCTGCAAGGCACCTTAAGAGGAGTGATTCTTAATCTTGTGGGGATTTCTTGAAAATTTGGTGAAAGCTATAGATACTCAGCTTCAAAAATGTTCATGCGTGCACATGTGCATTTAAGGCTCCTGGAAGCTGTCTTGATTCTTCACCCCCACCCTCTTGCTACCTCTTGCTATGCCATTGGATTAGATTGCTTCATCTCACCGACCTTATCAACCTTACCACCCTTCTACTTTAAGATTCTGCTCAGTCTTCAACAAACATTTTATGCCTTTGCCTCCAAAGAACTGGATTAGATCTATACATCCTTTCAGCGCTCTTTAAATACCTTGTTTGCACACTCCTTCATCCTTTAGTACTTAAGTCTCCCCCATTAATTTAATAACAGCAAATTGAGAACAGAATTTGTGTCCCAGATGCAGAACCTGGTTAGAGATTCATCAAATTCTTATTTCATAAATTCAGGATTTTTCAAGCTTTGGGGAACCTTTTCAAACTCTGTAAATAAAATATATATGGATTTTTAAACTCTCCCTGGAAATAAATGAAAAGATAATAATAGCGATTGAATTGAATGAAAACCTTTATATAATCTCGAATTTAATTCCTAGGTATCTTCCTAATGTAAAATTATTTTGCTTACTGACATCTTCCCAAATAAGTGAAAAACACAGTGTATGTATACATGCATGCGTATTATATATGTACACACATATATACTTAAAAGTCTTTTGTCTTATTTGTTTTTGTAGTCTACAAGACACATCTTAAGATCTTGTTTAGCCAATTTGGAGTAATCTGGGCTAAGTTGCTGCTTCCTTTTTAGGAAAGGGAATAGGAAAAAAAAATTCCAGAACCAGTTCTAGAAATGTGTAATCCTTCTCATTAAAATTTTTACTTACCTGTGATATCTTACCAATATACAGATAGACGATGAATGTTAGAAGAACCAGAAATACGGCACACTAGAACTTAAGGAACTACTTACAGATTTGTCTTCAGTACTGGTAATGTCACCCTTTAGTTAGCTCAGCAAAATAGTGAGAGCTTTATTTTATTTTATTTTTAAGATTTTTATTATTGAATCACTGTGGGATAGACTGTGGGCAAAGCTGTGCGTGATTAGTTTGTCGTGGAGTTCCAATCCCCACCCCTCCACCACTGTACATTTCCCAGTACCAGCCAGTGCCCCTAGTTTCCCTCCCACCTCTGTGGCAGCCACCTCTCTCTCTCTCTCTCTCTCTCTCTCTCTCTCTCTCTCTCTCTCTCTCTCTCTCCCTCCCTCCCCATCTCCCCCCCCCCCCATTTTAGTGCTTTGTCCTTAATTACCTGTTTTACTCAAATCCTCAATTGATGCTCTACTTGAAGAGTGCATTCTTATATACTTATAAACTCTTCATTGTGAAGGGCATATTTTAATAGTTGGCAACAATGCGTAAGACTCCAGTAGTGAAAAAGAAATTGCTGGTGTTGCTTCTGAGAGCAAAACATAAATGCTCTTATATAATAGCAATTAGGGAAGCGGTCGAATCGTTCATATAGTTTTGTGTCAATAAAGGAAGGGCAGATATTTTATTGGATGTTTCTCCCTTGCTTTTAAAACTTAGAACATTTGGTCTGATATCTGCAGAGAATTTTCAAAAAATCCTCGCCCAGAAAATTCAGACTGTAGCCTGAAATGATTACGTTACAGTAGCCATCTTTTTTGAAATGTCTTTTGAACTACTTGACATAGTTGTTGATTTGCAGATACTAATTGAGTGTGTCCATGAGGTGTATAACCTCAGGAAAGTTGCCAGATTTGGGTTTGTACTGAAGCTTCTTCCAAGTATTCGTACTGTTACCCATTGGAACTTTTCAACCAAATCGGCTTTTTGAAAACAAATAGGACATATTTGGTGAATCCTATTAAGTTTCATGCCTACACCAAAGACAGATTGTAATTTCTTGTAGAGAGGGGAGCATCGCTTAATAAATTAAAAAACTTTCTCGTAAAAGGATGATCAAGTGTATCATGTGATGCTTTTATAGAAAATTAACTGTAGCTATATGTGGTTTAATAGAGGCATCTTAGTATTGACTTAGTACATTATTTACACAAATCCTAAGTATTTCTGTCCTCTTTGCTCTAGATGGTTCAGAATTCTACTACATCCTGGTTTATTTACATTAAGATCTTAGGTTAACTATAATATTTTTTCCAACCCCAGTTACTTTCTCTGACAAACAGGAGAATGTTGAGGCTTTTGAATGTTCTTTATGTACTTCAGTCCTAACTCTTACCGTTTTCTTCTCTGAGGACTGGATGTTTTTCTTCAGACGAAAAACAGTTCATTAGAGCGGGGACCTTTGGTATGGTAGAATGTGAGGGAGGGGATGTTACAAGGCCGCTGTGCTCTTGAGGCACTGGGGCGATAAGGGAGGCTGCTGAGGGGTCAGTTAAAAATTAAAAGAAATGTTTCTAATTCCTGCGCTTCCTTCTCTGGTCATCATATAGTCCAGGTTTGTAGCTAGGGTTATCTGTATTCAGTTTCTCTGTGAAATAATAAAGTGTCCTGGATCATTAATATTTTAATTTTTCCAGATGACTTCTCATATCTGGAAAGTGTTACAAAAGCCCTTGGTCTTGGTTTCAGTCAGTTAATTGAGGTGAATTTCTGCTTGCCTTTCCAAGTCCAGTATTCATCTAGAGCCAATAAACTTAAAATTTTGCTAGCCATACCCATTAAGTGGCTAAATGAAGTTTTAATGTAATAGCAATCCTGGCAGTATTTGGAATATTGTTCCTTGAGAATTCTCTTGCAGTTCTGACAGCTGTGTTGTCTACTTTTCATTTTTTCCTCTCTCTCCTCTTCAAAAATATCAGTTTTCTGTTTACAATCATTTGTATCTTCCTGTATTTCCTCTACTCATCTAATCAGATGTATTGTGTATGTGAGAGAGTATAAACTAATTAACAACTGCAGTCAATATTTTCAGTTATTTTTATTTCACACTGGAAAGGGCTGTGCCTTCCTTTCTGTTGAGGAAAAATACTGATGCAGATATTGAGGAAATTATGTCCCAGGTACTATTCAAAATATTGAGGATGTATTTTTACTGTCATGGGAAAGCTTACTTGACCAAGTCACTCTATAAAGAGGAAAATCAAGTTACAAGCATTTTCAGTTTTGTAATTTAGTAAGTGGCATATTCGATATGCCAAAAACCGTTAACAATAGCAGGCCTCCTCCTGACCCTGAAAGAGCCTTCGGTCGTTGGGAAAGGCTGAGTAAGGAGAGGCTGCTAAAATCTCAGGGCCGGGACGAATGGAGACATTGGCGCCCGCTGGAGTAAATCGTTGAACGATGGGATGACAGTGATACAGTGAATTTAATAAGTCTTGGAGATTTGTGACTTCCCCGAGGACAGTTAGAAGGAACATAGCTTTCCAAAATCTCAATGATACTCTTTTATTCTTGCTATTGTATCACCCACATGTTATATAAAGTTTCAATTGATGAAAAACAGCTGTAAAGAATATAAGGTAAAAGGAAAAATTATAATCATTAACATTTGAGCATGGGAATTCTAAACTGTACAGTAACCCAGACATGCAGTATTGGATTTGGGGCGGGGCAGGGGTGGACCACACCCGATTGCGAGCTGTTCTTAGCCCAGGCTCCCTGCTCAGGAATCACTCCTGGCAGGGCTCGGTGTACCACATGTGGTGCCAGGGATCAATCTTTACCTGGACTTTATCTCTGGCCTTGAGAATAGGGTATTTTGAAGGCTAAAAAAAGTTAAATAATTAGATAAAGCTGAAGCTCTTTTTCCTATTAGGATTTTTTTTTGGGGGGGGTATTTGTGAGAGGGGTGTTTGGACCCCAGTGGTGGTGCTCAGGGGTGACCTGTTGGCTGTGCTGTGTTTAGGACTGAACCCAGCCTCTGCATACAGAGCATGGACTCGACTCACTGAGCTTTCTCTCTGGCCCCTGCATTGGAGGGTCTTAATTTCATCTCTAGTTTGATTGAATTCATTGACCTTAAGCTATTTTAAGTGTTTTCCATGACCTTACCTTTTTAAAAAATGGAGTTTAACTTGAATATTTTTAAAGATCAAAAAGGCCGATGCTGCTTTTTCATAGTAATAACGCAAACTGATTAGTATAAAAGAAAGTACTTTTCATAAGAAAATGACTTTTTATTCTAAGTGGTACATTAATCCATGGGCTTAATTGATGGTCTTAAAATCCTGGTGATCCTTTTCAGATGTGTATGATTTTTTTTTTCTTTTTGGGCTACACCCAGCAATGCTCAAGGGTTCCTCCTGCCTCTGCACTCAGGAATGACTCCTGGCAGTGATTGGGGGACCATATGGGATGCTGGAGATCGAACCCGGCTTGGCCGCGTGCAAGACAAATGCCCTACCCACTGTACTGTCGCTCCGGCCTCATATGATTTTTCTTGAAGCAGTGGTTTGCACCAAGCTGTAAAGTTATTCATAAATTCCATCTTAAAGTCTGTGTTGGTGAATTCTTAGTGGCAAATTACATACTGATTGCTAAACAAATTATTTGGCTAGTGCTTTTCAAAGGTTGTGTTGGTGTTGTGTTGATGCTTGTTTCCTTGGCTTGGGGGGGGGCTTTAAAAAATAAATTTAATATTAATGTTTTCCATCCAATTACAGGAGTCAGAAATACCATCGGAGGAAGGGTACTGTGACTTTAATAGTAGGCCAAATGAAAACTCTTACTGCTATCAACTTCTTCGACAACTAAATGAACAGAGGAAGAAAGGTATTCTTTGTGATGTCAGCATCGTGGTGAGCGGAAAAGTCTTTAAAGCTCATAAGAACATCCTGGTTGCAGGCAGCCGTTTCTTTAAGACTTTATATTGCTTTTCAAACAAAGAAAGCCCTAACCAAAACAATACTACCCATTTAGACATTGCTGCAGTGCAAGGTTTCTCAGTCATCTTGGACTTCTTATATTCTGGTAACCTGGTGCTCACAAGCCAAAATGCCATTGAAGTGATGACAGTGGCCAGCTACCTTCAAATGAGTGAAGTTGTTCAAACTTGCCGAAATTTCATTAAAGATGCCTTAAATATAAGCATTAAATCGGAAGCTCCAGAGTCTGTAGTTGTGGACTATAACAATAGAAAGCCAGTCAATAGAGATGGTCTGTCTTCATCACGGGATCAAAAAATTGCCACTTTTTGGGCAACAAGAAATCTTACCAATTTGGCGAGTAATATAAAAATTGAAAATGATGGTTGTAATGTCGACGAGGGCCAAATAGAGAACTACCAAGTGAATGACAGTAATTGGGTCCAGGATGGTTCTTCTGAATTGGCTGAAAATGAACCTGAAAATCAAACAAAAGTCTTTGTTTGGAATAATATGGGCTCCCAGGGAATTCAAGAAACCGGCAAAACGAGGAGGAAAAACCAAACTGCAAAGAGATTTGTTTATAATATACCACCTAATAATGAAACAAATTTAGAAGATTGCTCAATGATGCAACCACCTGTTGCCTATCCAGAAGAAGATTTACCATTCATCAAGGAAGAACCAGGTAAATATATATTTATATATATAAAGATTTCTGAGTTTCCAATTTTATTTCTGGTTGAACATAGACGTGAAGTACATTAGGATATTTTGATGTAAAATCAAGCATATTTGATAATTAATAGAGGGAAGCAATTTGAATAAGCGAATTTTGGCATATCTTTTGTTCATTCACTAGGCGTGTGTAGTGGGTCTCTGAGAGGTGGTGTTCCTCAGGCCTTTCTGGTGTTACTACTTGGTGGATAAACTCCCTGGAGAGTTGCCGGAGTTCCCTGATCATTTTTGTCTGCTTACTTTGTATTAGAATATGTTGTAATACAGAATCCGTTCCTTCCTTTACCGCTTTTGAGATGCAGTTAATCTTACACTCCAGTTTTGTTTCAAAAATTTTTATTAGTGAAACACCATGAGGTATAGTTGTAGACTTACAAATTTTTGTGCTTGGATTTTAATTATACAATGATCAAGTACCTATCCCTCCACCAGTGCCCATTTTCCACCACCACGGGTCCCAGTATCCCTCCCACCTCCCATCCCCCCATCCCACCCTGCCTCTGTGGCAGGGTATTACCTTTCGTTCTCTCTCTCTTTTTGGGTGTTGTGGTTTGCAAAAGAGGCATTGAGTGGCAATCATGTTTGGTCTATAGTCTACTTTCAGCATGCTTCTCCCATCCTCCAACACCCTTTATTTGGTGCTCCATTCTCTGTCTGAGCTCCCTTTTCCCCTAGCATGTGTGGCTGGCCTTCAAGCCATGGAGCAAACCTCGTGGTATTAATCCACCACTCTAGGGTGTTAGTCTCCTGTTTTGTTACTTTATGTTCCCCAGATGAATGCAATCTTTCTATGTCTATCCCTCTCTTTCTGACTCATTTCTCTTAGCATGATACTTTCCATGTAGTACCACTTGTATGTAAATTTCATGACTTCATCTTTTCTAACAGATGCATAGTACTCCATTGTGTAGATGTACCAGTTTCTTTAACCAGTCATCTGTTCTCGGGCACTCAGGTTTTTTCCAGATTCTGGCTATTATAAAGAGTGCTGCAATGAACAAACAAGTGTAGATGTCACTTCGACTATACATTTTTGCCTCTCTGGGATATGTTCCCAGGAGTGATATTGCTGGGTCAAGTGGGAGCTTGATTTCTAATTTTTTGAGAATCGTCCATACTGTTTTCCAAAAGGGCTGAAGGGTGGGTGGGTGGGTGGGGCTGGAACACATGCCAGCACCTGGGCCCCCTGCCATGGCAGCTAACCTGGCCTCCCGAGGGGAAGCACTCCGGGAGCTCTTAAGCACTAAGCAGGAGCAGGGCACGGGCTTCTCATGTTTCGTGGAATTTGCGTGTGATAATGGAATATTCTAATTTTCCAGAGTTCCTCTTACCCTAAATCTAATAGAAGCTAGGATATTACATGTTTATCCCGAAATTAACTTGTTTCTCACCCCTCTCTTAAGATGTGTATCAGAATCATAGTATATCGCATATCTGATGTGGGTATTTTAAAACAAGGTAGTAGAACTGTAAAGGGTTTGACTATGTTTGAAACTTTCCTTTTACTTTAGCTTTTGCCTGAGTAAATGTTTTGAAGAAGAGGAGATTTTCCTCGAAGATTCCAGAGCAGTGTTTACTGCTGTTGGGGGAAGTGGCGGGGGTGCACAATGGCTATTGTTCTCGCTGTTCCTGCCTTAGTGCTCAGGGTCACTCCCGATAGGGAAGCAGGCATGTGGTGTAGGGGAGTCAGGTCCCAGCCTCCAGTGTGCCGAACATGTGCTCCGGCCCTTGGAGCTATCTCTGCAACGCCATGCGTGATTTGCCCGTCTGGGGCTGGGGGTGGAACCAGACTTCACACGCCAGGCAGGTCCTGTCCACCGAGCAACGTCCTCTCCCCCATAGTTTATTTGTAATTCATTTGTCGTGGCACCGGGCTGTGTTCGGGGCTTACTCCTGGCTCTGTGCTCGGGATCACTCCTGACCATGCAATGTGGGTGAGTCACTTGAAAGGCAAGCACCCTATCAGCCGTACTATCTTGCTGGCCCCCCCCCATAAACGAATTTTATTTGTTTTGCATCAGAGCATGGTAATTGATTTTGGTGTTTGAGATACATGATGGTGTCAGGGATATTAAATAGGATTTGTTGAATGGGATGAGTTTGGGTTCCCAAAGGGTGAAACGCTGCCATAATTCTTTCAAATGTGTGGGATTTGAGTTTAGTTTCATTGCTAGGAATTTTCCTTAAGTAAAAGACGAGAAGAGAGAGAATATAGGAGTTAAGACTCGTACCATATATACTCTCGCCAGCACAGAGATGGGTGTGCCCCAACACAACCAAGTGTCACAAAGGGTCTCCACCTTCAAAAAAGTGAAAATCTTCTTGCATATACAGTGAATATTGTTTATTGTTGATCTTTTCCCTCATGCTAAGCAGTTCAGCCCCTGAAAGTAATGTTGGTAGAATTCTTTTAGTGGCTCTGTATTTTGACTTATTTTTCGATTCAGAGGACCTTAAAGCAATTCTGGCAACATTAGAGCTACATTGTCTTCTGTCGCATGAATTAATCATCTATAGTATATTGGGAACCCTGTGGAGTGGTGTTTTTTCAGGTACATATACACACAGTCTAGGAATTGTTTAGGATTTCGGTGTAGTAGTTGGCAAAACTTGATAGCCAACACCAGATTTTTTTGTTTTCCTTTGGGGGCCTCACCTGGCTGTACTCAGGACTGACTCTTGCCTCTGAGCTTAGGGGTCAGAGATCACTCCTGGCAGGGAAAGGGTTACATGGGGTGCTGGGATTTGAAACCAGGTGAGCCTGTGTGCAAGGCAAGCACCCTACCCACTGTACTATTGCTGTGGCCCCACCAACACCATTCTTAAAAATGACACATAATTGGAGTGATTCAAAGAAAGCAGTTAGAATCTGTGATGCAGTTTTTATGATTCATTTGAAAAAATAATACTAGTGATTATCATACCAAGCACTCCTAAGAGTGCTTCTTGGTAGACTGCGTCTATCATGAACTAATCCTGATAGTTGAAATGCTTTCACTGTACCGCTTATATTATAAAAGAGAATTCTGTCATTGGTATCTAATGAATGTTGGCAGTTTGTATTAGTGATTGTACCAGTAGTGTGCTACGTTCCAGCCAATAAGCTCTGCTCCTTTGCGTTAAATCCAACTTCATGAGTTTTAAAAACCATTACTAGCCAGAGAGACTGTAGGGGGGTGGGGGTGGTCGTTGCCTCCATATGGTTCTCCCTCCTCCTAGGTCTCATACTGCCCCTTTAGCTAGCACTGCCAGGAGTGATACCCCTCAGCGCAGAGCCAGAGCTGAGCACTTCCCATGTCACCCAAACCCCCTTCCCTGCCCATAGGAAAATTAGTAACTATCATCAGAACACGGCTGCCCCTTGGCGGGTTTCTATTCATATCATTTTGGTTTGGTTCGTGGACTCTGGGGCAACTTCCTCCTAAGTCTTGAGGGGTTGCTTATGACAGAGCTTGGTGCTCAGGGGACCATGTGGTGACAGAAGCAACCTAGAAATTGTCCCTAAAGATTGTGTACACCAACCCTTCAAGCTGTCTCCCCATCCCCTGGCAAATTTTCATTGTAGAGAGCCAACCGTGGTTTTCATTTTGCTGGCCAGAGAAGACCAGTTACTTTTTGCTTCCGTGGTACTCCTGGAATAGTCTGAGAGGGGGCACTTCGGCGCTTCTGGCTTAGCGCTCTTGGGGCTGTGTAGTGCCAGAAATCAACCAGGACGTCCAGTATGTGACACTGCGCGCAGCACTGCAAGCTGACATATCTTTCTGGCTAAGGTCAATGACCAATGACCTAAGTGCCCTTTGTTTCATGAAAACTGCCAGATGTTATATATAAATGAACAGAGATGTGTCCCAGTAAGCTTTATTGTCAACACTTGGTATTGAGTTGTGGAGCTTGTTACTATTTTTAAATTTTATTTTTCTTTTCTCAACGGGTGCTCTAAACTAAGGTAGTCATCCCTCACCTGGGGCAGTTCTAGTCCCTCTGTGTATGTACAATGCCCCACCCCACCCCCCAAACTCACAGCATTGCCTTTGCAGCCACGGGGACCAAAAAGTTGTTCTTGGCCTCCAAGTGGGTCTCGATTATGACATGTTTGCATCACCTGGTAACTTCAAAACTCGGAAGGTGTGGGGCTCTTCTTCAGAGTCTGATTTGACTGATTTGGAATGTAGCCTGGATGTTAGAATTTATGCCTTTTAGATGATTATAATTGTAAATCGAGGTTGAGATTCCAGTGATTTTTTTCAACAACAGTGGGCAGTGGTAGTAGTACTCAAATTGGATCAGGATTTAATAGAATTCTATTCTCCTTTTTAGTCTTCATGGTTTTTATAAGAATAGTTAAGTACGAAGTGATAGGTATAAAGGCCCAGCTATCACAATTATCTTAGCCCCCCCCCCACCCCTTGTGTTGGGAAAATACTGAAGTGACTTTGTCATTAAATAACCATTGCCTCGTATTTTATCCTAAATACTACCCATGCAATTTGATAACCTTAGCTTTGACCTTTGGTTTGACTGTTAAGACTACTTTAAGCAGTCTCAGTGGGGGATAAACAATACTAGAATAAAGTTTATTATATTCAGCCAAAATTTGATTGCCCTAAACCTCGTAATTATCCCACTCCTTGACTTACTAACCTCTAATCTGATATCCCTTCAAATGTTCAAAATTTCCCCTTTTTCTCTTCTAAGCGATAAACTTCCAAACCCTGTCTTCTTTTGAAAACCACACACATAGTTTCAACCTAAAATTTTGGTACACAGTGTGAGAACTACTCTCCAGGCAAGTACTGATAGATACAGAATAGAGTAGATTATTTTTACCAAGGTCAAGGCTACTTCCAAGGTCATTAAGCTAGTAAAAATAGAGACAGGTTTCATATTTAAGCCACTCATGTTAAAACCTTAGAGTTAGTAAATTAATAACTCTCTATTTTTAAAATGAGT